ATGTGTGAGATTTGAGGTCCTTGTATGGGGAGGGGGGAGAGTAAAAGAGACAGCCAGTCAGATCTTTAACTCTACTGAGACCAGAACCAGAAATGCAAACTTAATAGTAGTCAGCATAGAATGGTATTTAAAGTCATGAAACTGGGTCAAATCACCAAGAGGAGGAGCAGACTGGGAAGGGAAGTGGTCCAAGGACTGAGGCCTGGCACACATCACTGTAAACAGGTGGAGGACAAGAGGAAGAGCTAACCAGGGGGAGAGAGAAAGACAGCCAATGAGGTAGAATAAAAACCAGTAGAGTGGGGCGGTCTTGGGAGCCAAAAGAAAAGAGGGAGAAAATGGACAACTGTGTCAGACCTAGCTGATAGGTCAAGTAACATGAGGACCGAGAACTGACCACTGGATTTAGCAATGGGGAGGCCATGGTGACCTGGACAAGGGTGGACTGGGGGCGTTATGGGATGGAAGTCTAAACGGCAAGGTAGAAGAGATAAAGGGAAGAGAGGGATTGGAGAAGAGAACACACACAACTCTTTTTAAGGAGCTTTACTGTAAGAAGGAGCAAAAGCTGGATCAAGTGGGATCAAGAGAAAGTTGTTTTTCCTTAATGAAAGAAACATCAGGAGATTTGATGATGCAAAAGAGAAGGAAGTAGTGACAAAAAATTTTAAAAAATTAAAAAGCAAGTGAAAGAAAGCAAACATTTTGTAAATATAGCAATATAAGATTTAGACAAAGTAGAATTAAGACAAAAAGCATTAAGTGGGATAGAAGTTAAATATATATTTGATCAACTGTGGGATAAAATAAGAAAGTAAAGAAGTATTCGCCAAAATACTGCACCCAGATGAATTTATGAGCAAGATTGTAAAACCTTCAGGTAAAGGATCACATCTTTGCTATTTAAACTAGTCCAGACAACAAAAAGAAGGAAAATGTATTTCAGCTCATCTGAACAGATTAGCAGAAACCAGATACCAAAATCTAACAGAGAAGGCAAGAAGAAACAAAGTCAAACCTGTTATGAAGTGTGACATAAAAAGTCTTAACAAAATCAGTAGATTAAAGCTAGAAAGGTACTATAAGAAAAAGAGATACAATCCAGGCAGGATTTATTCCAGGAATATAAGAATGGCTCAACATAGACAATTTAACTATAATTAATTATACTGTTATTTAAAAGTGCAAAAGTAATTAAAATAGTCTCATTAGATATTAAAAGAGCATTTAATATAACTCCAAGTAACAGTCAAGATAACATAAAATTCTTAATTTAGGCACAGTAGGGCATTACCTCAATATAAAGATACCCATCTGAAACCAATGAAAATCATATATTATGAGAAAACACTAGAGGCATGACTAAATAAGTCAAAAACAAGAAAAATGCTATTATCATTACTTTTCAATAGTGTCCTGGAAATTTTAGTCAGTGCAATAAAACAAGAAAAAGACATTTAAAAAAGTAAAATTATTAGAAAGAAAAATATAAAATTATCATTTTTATAAATGATATATCAATCTAACTGGAAAACTCAACAGACTAAAAGGAAAAATTATTAAAACTAGTATTTTTAAGTTGAGTAAAATGGCAGGATGCCAAAGACATATAGGAATCAATAGCTTTTTACAGACTAAACTGGGCAGATTTCTAATGAAAAATTCTATTTTCAAAAGCAAGTCCTCCCCCTCCCACCCTCCCCCCCCACCCCCGGCCCCGCCAAAAACAAAACAAAACACTCTTAGCACAGAAGTGTCCTTCACCCTTCCCTCCGCCAAAAAAAAAAGAAAAAAGAAGATGCCAACAGACTGTCTATAGGCTATTTATTTTATGGGATCATCAGATACTTCTTTCCCTGAAGCAAAATAACTGTCAATTACATTATTTTAAGAATTCTCTTTGGGCGTTTGGTTTGCTTCTTAGCTGTCCATTGTAGGTATTTGTGCAAAGCACCTAATGGAAATACTTTCTACTCTGGCGAACAAGGCGGATGTCTTTTTACAGATGAGGGAGGTGCTGTCCCTGAGAGTAAGGCGGCACGTGAAGTATGTGAGACATTCAGTATCCGAACTGAGCCTCGTGGAGTAAGATGAAGAAAACCCAACGCCTTTTAGAGCCGCGGTCGCCAACCGGTGGTCTGTGAGGTCCGAAAGGCTGGCGGCCGCTGCTTGAGAGCATCCCAAAAGCTCATGCAGCTGTAGAGGGACTGAAGCTCAAAACGGTGAGCCTGGAGGCGTAAGGGAAACCCCCGCACAGGCGTTTTTGTTGGGGTGTCCCACGGCAGTTGTAAATCTGGGACAGGAAACTGGAAATCACTGAGGTCACATACTCCCAACATCATATTCAATTAGGTTAGAAAAGTGCCAATTCTGTCATCGTGTCATAAAAAAGTGTATTTTTCTCTCAGATCCCTTCTAGAGAAAAGTTCCCTGAGCTGTTACAGATGGGGCTGTTTTCAATCAGTTACAAGGAGCAATTCAATTACTAGGTGGTTTAGTGCAGTAACTGACTCCAGACTAATTTAATTCCTTTAGGTCTCTAAAGATCAATTGATCTGATTTGTCCCATCCCCAAAGGCTGTTTAGGGAAAATTCAGACTTAAAATACTTGGAAATGAAATCCAAAACCTTGGCCGATTTCACACAACTTGGGTTCTCTTGCACATTTCCAGCTAAGTCACTCCAGCTGCTCGCACAGCCTTCAGACCACCGAGAGCTACTGGGCGCCCTGCAGTCAGGATGCTGCTTCAGGAAGCGGAAAGCGTGTTGCAGGCATCAGCCGGTCTGCCGTTCTAAAGGGCAGGCGGTCTGGACACTCCCGTCTCATGAGCACGTGTGCAGCCGAGGGGCTATGCTGACTCCAGGAGCAGTTTATTAAGACCATTGGAAGGAGACTTGGATGGGCAAAACCCATGCTCATCCAGTAAGATAAGAAACCTGCATTTCTAAGCTGCTTTCACAAACGTCACTTTCCTTGTTTCTCAGGAGAAACCTGTGGGGCCGCAGGGTGGCTTTTCTCTGTTTTCTAGATGAGGACAACGGACTCAGAGGTCAGGTGACTTCTCCAGGACCCCTCAGGCAGTCAGAGGCAGAGCTGGGACTCTAACCCATGACTCTGTCTCCCAATTCACCATGTTCGCCCTTGATCTGAGACAGAAGGTACGGCCTACGCTGTGAAAACACATCACTGCCGCCCCCACTGAGCCACCGTCTTCATTCTTGCTTGACCCCAGATTGACCCTGAGGAAGGTTCACTGATTACAATGGCACCTGCAGAATCCCAATCTGAACCGGCGCCTCTGGCCCTCCAGAAATAGATCCAAGGGGTCGTGCCTCCTGAGTAGTCCTTGTCCACGGACTCACTGGTTACCCACACTGCTGCTACCACACTCTCACTGAGGTGGGTCTCAGGGCCTGAGTCCCGCCTATGTCCCAACTAACCGCACGGTCGCCCACTGCCCTTTCTGCTTTCCAATGGATCTTCCACCACAAGCTCCAGCTTCTTTCTCTGATCTCAACTCCCCCAACCACTCTTCAAACTCGCCAACTAATGCAGCAGTTCTCAGCCTGTGGGTCGCGACCCCTTTGGGGGTCGAACGACCCTTTCACAGGGGTTGCCTAAATACATCCTGCATATCAGATATTTACATGATGATTCATAACAGTAGCAAAATTACAGTTATGAAGTAGCAACGAAAATAATTTTATGGTTGGGGGTCACCACAACATGAGGAACTGTATTAAAGGGTCGTGGCATTAGGAAGGTTGAGAACCACTGAACTAATGGATCTTTTTTCCTACTCAAATCCCACGGTTGCTGCCCACTTTCAGCCTCTCCTACTGGCTTCTCTGCCTCCCCACTAAGCCTCCATGTCTGCTCCCCCAAATTAAAACCACCCCTCTATGATCTGCCATTTGGAAGGCTGAGCGAAGGATCAGACAGGTGTTGCTAAAATATGTAATTATCCTTTAATTTGAGTTGCCAACACAGGTTAGGAAGGAGTGCGAAGGTCAGACGATGTGACCACCTGGTAGATAATGAAGAGTGTGGCAAAGTGTAGCAGTTGGTAGGAAAATCACACCAAGATTTGGAGATAAAATAAAAGAGGGTACCCCACCTGTCAATACAGACTTCAGGCCACATAAAAGAACAAGCACAGGAGATGAGGAGGGTCTGACGTCTCAAGTATAACACGGTGATTAGAGCTGATGACACTATTGCATAACTAAAATTTGTTCATAGAGTAGAACTTAAGTGTTCACACACACACACACACACACACACGCACAGTACATAAAGTTACATAGTATAAGAGATATAAACAATCTTAAAAAATCTTCTCTCTGAAAAACCCTTTTTTTGACATTCCTGATGAGCAAACCATGGATCTCAGCGCAGTCATTACTGATCACATAGATGGTCTCACTGTGCGAACCATTTGAATTAAGGTACAAGTGGGGTGAGTTCCAGGCACATGATTGTCACCTGTTGTCTTAAAGGTCCTGAGATCTGACAGCTCTCCTATGAAATAGCAGCAGTCTAAGCTCTGGGTGAAAGGTGTGCCTTGAATTAAATGGCATCTCCCTTTTTTCAAAATCCCAAACTACCCTTGTACTCGTGGTGTTAGCAAACACACACCCTGTTCAGAGGTATCAAGATTCCATTTCTCTGCAGATGCCCCTTGAGACGAGAAGCTTAATGGCACCCAGAGGACGGAGACTTCGATAACAACGCCCTGTTTTTACAGCTGAAGAATGTCCCGACCATAGGAACCACTTCACGGAGGAGCTGAGCACAGAGTAGATGCGGCTGCGCAGCTGTCACAGCTGAAACACGCCCGTCTCTACAGGCTCATGGCTGGGGGGGAAGGGGACAGAGACGGGGAGAGTGTGTCCAGGGAGGTCATGGCTCTCTGGCGTTGAAAGGAGTGTGCCCGGACGGACTCGCTCTCCTCTTTATCTTATCTGGACAAAGAAAGTAAGCAGAAAATTCTCATTACCTCTCAATGTCAGTGAGCCTGGAGGAGTCCCGAAATCCTTTGGCGAAGGGGTTGCTGTCTATTTTCAGCTTGGTTATCTGGAAGGGGAAGAAGGGGTGACACAACGAGGTCATTTCTGAGGTCCAGAAAATAAAAGCAGAAAGGGTTCGTTCCTTTTCCATCCTGGCTCCATAAGAATATCCAGTGTCTGTCAGTATCGGGAAAAAGGTCGAAATGGCTAGAGAGAGTTCACAGGAGGGAGGGAGGCGAGGGGATGGTCGGGGAAAGCCTCAGAGAGAAGGCGGTATCTGAGAACAGGCTGCGGTCAGTGGATGGAGACTCTTGGGGGCGGGCCTCTCGTGAACAATGTGAAGTATTCAGACAGTCGTCATCGGCTAGGGCTCCACTGGGGAGGGGGCAGCTGTCCAGAAGGCCAGCACCGGTGGGGGATGGGGGACAAAAATAAGAGCACTGCCTCATGCTGACTTGGCAACATCATTTATTAACACCATGGGCGTGTGTGTGTGTGTGTGTGTGTGTGTGTGTATATATCATAATAAATCAAAAGATTAAATGGACAGTAATAGCTTCATGTTTAATTCTATATTGAGATACATGACATAAATAGATGCTATAAAGCTTTTAGAATATAAACTTACCCCAGAACCCCGCCTCCATCTTACTAAAGTAGACTCAAATGAGTCAGTCTTTTGTTGTCCCCCTATGCAATGTCATTGATAGACTCTATGCTTACATTGGGGGGGAAGTTATTTGCTACTAAGAATCATGGTCTGAAGTATTCAACCATATGCACTGCATCTCCAAAGAATAATACATTAGATTTGAAGCAAAAAAATAAGTGATTAAAGAAAGGAAACCCTGATTAAAAGATGCTTGTAAAAGTCCTGCGTGTCAGAGCTGGCAGGAACCTAGCACTGGCCCAGCTCTGCTGTGTGTGAAAAGGAACCAAGGGCCCTTTAAGGGAGTCACAGCTCATCCATGTCACTACGAGAGCCCACGGCAACCTTCCGAGAGACACACAAAATACTCTTCACCTGGGGAAGAGCTGTGGGTGTAAGGAGTTCCCACCATCCAGGTAATATGACATGCTCCTTTGCCAAAAGCAACTTTTCCTCAGATCAGTGTCTCTATTGTTCACTTCAAGCCACTAACACCTAAAGAATTGCTTTTATTATTACAAAGAAAGGCTTTTCTCTTTCCTTTTCAATTTTTTTTAGGTACTTATTTACTGCCACATTTTTCTTTTTTTTAATGCATCTTTATTGCTGAAAGTATTACAGATGCCCCATTCCCCCCCCCCCGGGGCCCCCTCCACCTCACTCCCACCCCCTCCCAGGCCTCTCCGCAGCGCTGTCTGTCCATGGGCTATGCACATATGCGTAGAAGTTCACTGGTTAATCTCTCCCCCACTCAAGTTTTCTCAATGTGAGCTGACCAGTGTACAAGCTGCAAAGGTGCTCTTTCTCCCCCTTCGAGTAGAAATTCCCACACTCCCCTGACTCAAGAACACACTTCCCTGGCAGGCACTTGGCCATGCCTGAGAAATGCTCATTTTCAGCCCATGCCTATTCACTCCAGAGCAGCCACTCACACAGATTTGCTAATGTCCTTTTCAGCTCAGTTCCTGGAAAGTGGAAACAGGGAAGGAAAGAAGCTAGCGAAGTGAGAAACCTGCTCCCAGTGGGTAGCAGCAGCCACATGGAAGGTGCAGACAGAGAAACACACAGGAGCCCCGCGGTGGCTCCAGGTGTGACCACAGGCGTCCGGAGAGAACCCTCTCACTCAGCCGCGGACCCCAAAGGGGACAGTCCGAGCCGGCCTTTCAGAGCAGGGTTTCCTTTGGAAGCTCAGTTTCCAGGATGAAGGAGAACATTTTTATTTGTTTGAAATCAACTTATAAACATCTTGTAAAGCCCAAGCAATCAGTGTGTCCTAAGATGATACAATACCGCCAAGATGTTAAATTCCAAGACAGGAGCTGTGTCTCTCTCTACTGGATAATTATGTTAAAGTACTTTATATTTCTAAAGCGCTTTCTAGTTCATGAAACACTGCTTTCACAGTAATTCATCAGCACAGAGTGAATAGAGACGGATTGCTTATCATGTCCTATGCGAAACGCTGGATGGTGCAAAGATAAATACATGGTCCTGCCCTAGCAGAGCTTCAAGGGCCATGGAGCAGGCAGAGGACACCGGGCTGAGCAGAACCGAGGTGACTCAGGTGCCAGTAAAGAGAGTGGCATCGCATCCACTGCCGTGTGAGCGACCTTCAGGGTGAGCCGACCCCAGGTGGGAATTTCAAACTGGAACTGTGCGACACAGCGATACAGTGAAGTCTGCTTCTAAGCTCAATGACTCACGGCAAGCTCATTTATAAAGTCACAAAGTAAACGGATCTACCAATGAATGAAGTTTCCTGGAGACCGTGGCAGATAAATATCTGCTGGAAAAACTAAATACAAAGAACATATGATTTCACTTCCAGGTGGAATTTAAAGAACAAAATAAACGAGCAAACAGAATGGAAATAGACTCAGAGATAGAGAACAGACTGATGGTTGCCGGAGGGAAGGGGAGTTGGACGGCTCTAGTGAAAGAGGTGAAGGGACTAAGAAACACAAATTGGTAGTTACAAAAAAGTCACAGGGAAGTAAGTACGGCATAAGGAATATAGTCAATAATATTATGATAACTGTATGCTGCCAGTTGGGGTACTGGAAATATGGAGGGGAACACTATGTCAAGCATATAATCTGTACACCTGAAACTAATACATAATAAAAGAAAAGAAAAACCAAGGACTCGCAAAGAAGTCCTTTCACACCATCCCTCTAAAATGTGAAACATTCAGCTATCTTTGAGTATTTACTAACTAAAAGGACAGGAAGTATTCTCTATCTGTTGTAATAATTGAAGAAAGACTTTTGACCCACTTTGTCCCTGAAAAGCATTTTGAACATTTTATTTGTTGGTCTTTATATTTCCAGAAGGTAAAGGTGATGCTTGTAGCATTGTCATGGAGAATAAATAGTCCCAACACGTAATGTTGTTCAATTGGCATGTCACCACATCTTACCACCTTAGTTTTGAATGAGAACATGAATTAGATTCAACCAGTTTTCAGATTTCTTTGAGATTTTCTCTCATTATGAGAATGCTATACTTCCAACAGTCTTTAAATCCCTCTTTCATGAGCCCTAGGAGTATCAGTGGTAACTTTTTTTCCTTACATTTTGATATAATTTCAAACAACCGGAAAGTTTAGAGAACAATGCAGGGTGCTCTCATACACCTCGACTTACCAGTTGGTCACAGCAATGATTTCACTTGAGTGCACTAATTAGAAAAGGAGCTCAAGGCATAACCAGCTATTTACTTCCTCTATGGCCCATGTTACCTAGTTCCAGGGAAAACAGCTGCTTTTGGAAGTTAGCGGGGGAGCTGAATGGAGCTCTTATTACTAAAACTGTGGGGGACCCTGGATTCACACTCCCATCTTGGACAGGTTTTATGAGTATTGTAAGCAGCCCAGGGACCATGGGTTCCAGTTCTTCACTAGCGCTATCACCCGACTCTCAGTCTCCTGGACTGTCAGCTATCATCACCCGGAAGCATTTGCTGAACTTCGCTTCCAGAGAAAGCAGTCAGAAATATAAATCATCTTTTTACCAGTTAGAGACTAAATCAATGGTTCTCAACCTTCTGGCCCTTTAAATACAGTTCCTCATGTTGTGACCCAACCATAAAATTATTTTCGTTGCTACTTCATAACTGTCATGTTGCTACTGTTATGAATCGTCATGTAAATATTTGATATGCAGGATGGTCTTAGGCAACCCCTGTGAAAGGGTCGTTCGACCACCAAAGGGGTCGCGACCCACAGGTTGAGAACCGCTGGACTAAATGAACTCTTCTTCCGTTTACGGGGGGCGGGGGGTGGTGAAAGCATTTTATTTTACTGGATTTTCTATCTTAAGATAAAATAATTTTTAGATAGAATTTTAACATTCTAGGTAATCATGCATTTTTAAAGATCAGGCACAGGTTTTATTCCATGGACATTTAAATAAAAGCCAGTCACTATATAGAAATTCATCTCTGAAGATATGGTTTTACATCCCTTTATGAAGTTTGGAACAACTGGAGAAGTCACACATTTGAGAGCTGATGAGAGAAGGAACCTGAGTTACAGACAGTGATTCAGTTGGACATCATTTGTTTTGCCCCTAATACAGAACACCTGCAGCCTGCAACACCGTTGAACAGTGTCACCCGTGTCAAAGGTAAGGACCCAAAACTAGTCAACCAGTGAACATAGTAGGTAGAGTCTTGATTAGCCAAACCACAGGTATGGCTTATAATTCAAAAACAAATTTAAAAAGCAGCCATATCTTATATTGGGTGTGCGGTAAGGATAGCACACTGTGCTAAAGAAACCCCGTAGTTAAGTGTACATGCACCTATGTGCAAATCACCAACTAATTCAGGTCAAAACATATGCCCTTTTCCACATATGACCTTAATAACAGAACACAATGCATGTCCTAACAAAACACCCACTCTTTCAGCACCCCCTTATCTGCAGACAAACGTAAGCATGACGGGAGGGCATGCCAGCTGTGCCAAAGAGAAGGGGGCCTTCCAGGGGCTGACCGCCCACGTGACATCACTGGTCTCCTCTGGTTCCCAGGCGCGAGGTGAAATTGGCCCTGAGAGACCATGTCTCCAATTATCAGGGAAAGATCTGTCCCAAGGCATTTAAAAATGAAACCTGACCGACACTTCAACCCGACGGCAGCGGTCTGCCGCTCTCAAAACAATGTATGACCTTTAAATCTTAAATTATAAGATAGTTTGTTGAAAGTATAATGTGTTTAGCTTTTATCTAATAATGTAGACAAATGTGATCATTTCCTCGCCAAAACCAGAGGCAAAAAATAATAATTTGTAAAAGTCCCATTTTCCATTACTCATAAATAAAACCACCAGCCATAATAAATGAGATGCTTTTTCGCAAATTGGAAAAACTCTGATTTGGCTTTTAATAGATGTGAAAATACCAGTCCTATCTAAAGGTTAGGACATATGAAGGTGATCCTGAATGCAAACTTTTAAATTTTCTTCTTCTCTCTTGTTTTTTTGTGCATAGAAAACTTGTAATATTTCTACTATCCTCAGTAAATATTTATTGTATCTCCTATATACAGGGTGTCCCCAAAATATATACACACTTTAACAGCCGGTAGCTCAATTTTGAAAATGAAATGTATGTTAATAAACTCTGTCTGTATAATTATTTAAAGTGTGTATATACATTTTGGGGACACCCTATATTTATTTCAGGAAAGCCAGTACACAAACAGGACATAATAATGAAAAAGCAGAGGTGGGAGGCCTAGAAAGCATCAAGGATAACTTTAGAAAACTGTATAGGACTAAAGAAAATACTAATCCTCAAATTGATTTATTCACCCCATATGTTTATTAAACATGGATTTTGATTGGTTTTATGAGGTTTATAAACCATTCAAACTGGCTTGAAAATCAAATCTTTGACCATTACTTGAATTTCAAATATATATTTGGCACTGTGCTAGGAATCAGGTAAAGAGAGATGCATAGAAATAAACCGACTATTTTCATTGGGCAACATTTTCAAACTCAGTTTCCAAACCTTGACACTGTCAGTGGTAATGTCCTTGGCCTGCAATCTGGCATGATTGGCCACTGAAAAGGAGGAAGGAAGATCCAGATTTGTGACCTTGGGCAGGTGTATTAACTACCCTGAACCTGTCTTTCCATCTAAAGAGTGGGGCTCAGGAGGGCCTTCTTCAGGGGTGTCAGAATTAAATGAGATACTGAGGAAAAATGCAGAGAGGTTTCTCTAAATTAAAAGCAATAAATCCAAACCATGAACTTTAGTTGGATTCTATCTAGTTCAGAGAGGGGAAGGGGGTTATAAAAGACATTTGTTGATCCATCCTGAAAACTGTAATATTAACTGAATTTTAGATGATATTAAGGAATAATTCTTAATAATTTTCTTACTATGATAAAGATATTATGGTTACAAAAATAATATTCTCATATCAGTAGGTATTTGTGGGAGTATTTTCAGGTAAAAATATCATGATGCATGCAACTTAGTATCAAATGATTAAATGAACAGGAAGTATGGATACATACAGAGACAGAAATGGGGAGGAGGCGGCAAAGTGACAAAATGTTAATTTTTGAATCTGGGTGGAATACATGAGGTACATTTTCTAACAAACATGGCTTCTACCAGATGCAGCCAGTGCTAGTGGCCATTCTATCTCAGATCACTGTCATCTCATTACACTGGCAGGTAAGCAGTGAGTACTTGTTTAAAACAAAACAAAAAAATGATCATAAAGAGGTGAAACCCTCTAAAAAGGATGTCTCGGGGTCCGTCGGAGTCCCAAGCCAAGAGGACAAGAGGACACCAGGCACCTAAAGCTTAGAGATAAGGACCCTGACTGTTGCACTCAACACCTGGATTCAAATAGAGCGGTGTGCGGGAAGGTCACCTGGGGGAGCTATCCCTAGAAGGTGACACAAAAATACTGTTGTTCCCATCACATAAAATCACTGTGGGGGTTAAATAAAACAATGCACTTTCAATGGTGCCTTGCACACAGTAAGTGCCCAAATATTAGCTGTTACAATGATGTAAACAATAACCTCCTAGTCCCATGAACCTTGGTTTGAGAGGTCCTGCTAACATTTACTCAGCTCCCTCACTTATGAAACCAAATCTAAGATGCTATCCTGTGAAACTTCCTTTAGTTTTGTTTTCACGCTTTAAGATGATTAGTATGATAACATTTGTGCATTCACGTATCTCATTAAAAAATATGCCACTAACATTTTAAAATGCCAATGGTGAGAGATCCTCTTTGGACATTCCAGAGACAGTCCTTAGTAACCACACGCCTCACTTATAGAGTGCCTTACGGTTTCCAGGCATGATTATGCACAGTCTGTCACTGGATGCTCACAGGACTTTCTAAGATGGTCTGCATGGTCCTTAGCCCTAGTCACAGGTAAGAAAAACGGCAGCCATAGTGATGACATGAAACCTCCTCAAAGTTGTACAGGAATTACAGGTGCTCACACCTTAAAGTCACACCTCCTCTCGGCCATCGGCCCACATCCTTGCTCTGGGCTCTCAATTCCTTACTTAAGTAGGGCTATCTGGGCTTTCAGCTTGGTCTTTATTATTATTATTATTATTATTATTATTATTGATTTCAGAGAGGAAGGGAGAGGGAGAGAGATAGAAACATCAGTGATGACAGAGAATCATTGATCGGCTGCCTCTTGCACACCCCCTACTGGGCATCAAGCGGGCAACCCAGGCACATGCCCTGGACTAGAACTGGAACTGGACCCTTCAGTCCGCAAGCCAACGTTCTTTCCACTGAGCCACACCAGCTGGGGCTCAGCTTCATCATGTCACTTTTCTCGAGAGACCCAAGACCCTGTCTTCTCTGATGGACCATCCCACTCTAACAGTCATTCACTCAAAACCCAAAATATAACATCAAGACAGGAGCAGAGCCATAGACCTGGTGACCCATAACTATTCAAATGAAAGCAAGATGCAAAGACCTAGCGAGGTGCACACCACCGAATCTGTCAAGTAACCTGACAGTGTGGGTTCCTCCTCCTGAAGCACATGGAATCCCAGCTGGTCCCTCCTGCTGCGGAAGACTTTCTCATCTTCTCTCAGCTTGGCTTCCTCACCACAGAATGTCACTATTACCCCCAGTCAGTAAGATGATGCTCACCACGAGAGAAGAAAATATATGGGGAAGCTTCCAACAGCACCCAGTTCCTACTAAGACTTTGATAAATATTTACTGAATTGAACTAACCCATATGGATGAAAAAATGCATACATTTTAAATGTGAGATACAATAGAGAGTAGACAATAGGTAACTCAATATTATAAATTAAATATCTTGATGTTAATTAAATACACACTGCTTGCCTGCTACAGTTTATTATCTAAAGAGACATTTAGATAATAAATGTCTAAATTACGCCATAAATTACAGCTGAATAAGCCTCAGAAAGTGTCTAAAGTATCAGGAGTGTGGGCAGTTGGCTAGAATGTGTGTGCTAATTTAGCACACAAAAAAATGGAACGTCTATATTTTATGGGGCAATCGATGAGTGTATGGTTAAATATCTTAGGAGGCTTTATCAGGAAGAGGAAAAGGAAGCAGGTAATTTCTCAAGAAGAAAATTTGAGAAGCCAGATAGGGGCAGGTTTGGGTCGGAGAGTGGGCAGTGAACAACCTAACCAAGAGTACACAGATTCTAGAAAAGATGGTGCAATGCGGACCTTCATAACCTTGAGCGTGGCTCACTCAACACATGGAGAGGCCCTGGCTGATACGCAATAGCGCTCTCCAAAGAGAACTGATTCAAGTACTGGGATCCTTGTTCTCCTCACGAAAACGAAAGGACCTCCTGAGTCCTTATCTTATTCAGGAGATGAACTTATTCAGGAGATGAACTGTGAACGGAGCACTCACCAGTTGATTCTGGTAGGCAGTGACTGCCGTAAAAACTGTCTCTGGGAAGATGAACGTCCTGAATTCTTCAGATTTCAGATTGAGCAGCGAGGCCGTGTGGTCCTTCTTCTTAATGATGTGCACCCGAGGCTGGTACTTATGCATCGAGTTCAAAATGATCTACAACAAAGACATGGGGAACACTGAATGTGGGTGTTCATATTGCTAAACAGCCCGAACTGCAATGAGGCAAACAAAGAACCATCAAGTCTAGAGTTTCAAATTCAGTGTTAAGAGTAGGATCTACCCTGTTCCATTCCTAAAGCAAATCATTTTCACAGGATACTGCAGAATCATCCTTGTAAATCACATTTTATCAAACCAACCGCAGAGAATGTAGGTCGTTTCAAGTATCTTTTCTAAAATGATGGGGGAAAGTCATGTAGAGAATACATTTGTTTTTAAATCAAATCTTTAAAATATTTTGTGTGTGTGTGTTAGTCTGGTTAGATCAAAGGAGATATGTCTACATTTTCCAAAGTAATAAATTATATATGCTAGGAGGACAGATTGTTATTAACGGGAGTGTGATATTAGACAGACCTGAATAGTGAATCTGCCACTTTCTAGCTCTTTAATCTTGGAGCCAGTGATCTCACCTCGTCAACCTCATTGCAAATACAAAACCAGTATTAACCCCATAGGGTGTGGTGGGGATTAGAGGATGTGACCCTTGTAAATCACACAGCAGATAGGAAGTGCTCGTTATTTAAGAGCACAGAGTAACATCACAGATGGTTCCTTAAAAAGAAATCTTATCAGACGTGCAAAGGCCTGTTCAGTGGTGTTTGTTCTATTAACTATTGCTAAGAGCTCAGCATTCCAGTAGCTCCTTTTCCACATTTTGATGAACTCCTTTATTGACCCCAAATCATCAAACTGTTTTGTTTTTAATTGCAAGACTTCTCTGTGCTTTCATATTCATAAGACTCTCTACATAGGGGATATAGAATGAGTAAAAAGCACTTTCCCAAACTTCTTTAGACATCATTTCAAATGGTTGGCTTGGACCTGAAATCAAATAAGTTGCTTCTGGCGTTGCCAACATCCATTTGCCCCAGGGGGCCTTGTTTATCGAGACCCAGTCAGAGTAACGGGGTTAATTCATAACTCTGCTGGTGGTGCTGTCCAGAGGTTGGAAGCAGGTGAACAGGTTTCCAACTTATCTGGACATAAACCCTACTGCATCTCAGGTGAGTGTGCTCAATGGAACACCATTTGGGCAACCCCCAAGTGGGGGGGGGGGGGGAGGGTGCGGTGGTGTCTCAGCCCCATTCCTTTTATGCTGCATTATCTGACATACCACTGACAGAACTCAGATGTATAACCCAAGAAGGGGCTGTAGTAGCCTGCAACATGCATGTTCTCTTTGTTTAATTGGCAAAGGCAGAAAGCAGTTGCTAAAGTCTTGGGAAATCCATGGTGCTAAAGGCCCTGTCCCCATGCATAGCATAACAATGGCCTCCGACAAGATGAATACTTGGAGATTCTCTTAGAGCAGCGGTTCTCAACCTTCCTAATGCCGCGACCCTTTAATACAGTTCCTCATGTTGTGGTGAGCCTCAACTATAAAATTATTTTCGTTGCTACTTCATAACTGTAATTTTGATACTGTTATGAATCGTCATGTAAATATCTGATATGCTATATGTGTTTTCGGATGGTTGAGACCCACAGGTTGAAAACGGCTGGGAGGATTCACAGTGAGAGGGTGGGAGGGGCAAAGAGCCAGGCGGAGATTAGAGGAAGTTTTGTGTGACTTCTCCGTCCCCTTCCCTTCCCGTCCTGGGTCCTGGGGAATCCACACAGTCCCAGGCGTCGTTGTACTTACATGGCCATGTTGATCCAGTTCATTGTTGGTGAGCTTCACCTTTTCAAAGGACACCATCTGTTTGAGTAGCTGCTCACCAGTAAAAGGGGAGTCTGGGTGGACATACAGCCTGAGAAAATTATGAGAGATTCCACTGAGGCAGTTTTTAAAAAACCTGCTCTCTGTGGGTTATAAAATATTCTGATTCCAAAGGAACACAAAACCCCTGTATAAATGGTGAATTTTATTTACCCCGTATAATGTCAGGTTTAATAATATAGCAATACCAAAATAACTCTAAAACCTCTAAATGTGTTTCTTCATGTACAATGCTCTAAAAGGGGTAACACTTAATAAATTTTCTATCATCTGTTGAGCAAGCCATTTTTAAAGGTGGGGTTTTTCCTATCTATCTGTTACGGGGCTACTTCTGTAAATATGAGATCTAATGGTATAGGTATTTTCAAAAGAAAGAGTAGGCTATACTAATTGTATAATAAGTTCCCAGGATGAGCATTGCTAAAAATCAATGAAAACAGAGAATTTAAAAAAGAATTCTAGAGACTGCAATCATTTAAAATTGAAAGTGACTGAATTTAAAGTTTATATTCTTTATAAATACAAGGCAGAGTAACTTTAATACAGGGACCTGGGAACTTTTAACAGTCCACACAACATAACATTGTTAAGTGATGAGAATGAAAACAAGCTGGGAACGCTTCAAATTATTCAGTGTATTCATTTGTAAATAGCCCAAGCAAAATAAAATAAAATAAAATAAAATAAAAGTATTTATCAGGCATTTATCATCTATTGATCAGCTGCTAAGTGCAATCTTTCACAGTTAAATGCAGAGCATTTGTTCTACCTCTAAAGGTCCCAGGAGAGGGGAAGGAGATGTGCTCGATTCACCAGGACAGATTCCTTCCTGGCGGTAACAGGTTACTTGTATATCAACTGTCTATAGGATAGTGTAACTATAGCTAAGCATAAACATTACGTTTGGGGCGAAGGCCAGGGAAAAGGTCACAAAACCTTTCCTTGCGGTGTTCACGTGAAGAACAAGAAGTCAGTGTCCTGGTCTGTCACAGAAGGGGATGCAGAATAGAAGCATTGGGTGCACATGCGGAAACAAAGCCCCCCCCCCCCCCCCCCCCCCGAAGCAAAGCCCAGGAAAGGCTGAGGGCGATAAGTAAGGATTCTTCCTGGACCCGGGCAAGAGCCGGGAAGGCTGCATGTAGGTGTTCGCTTGCCTGCCTGCTTGTTCCATTGCTCTTTTTAGGAGGAGTGCTCAAAACTGCCTTCCAGTTGAAGAATTCTTTGACGACACAACCGTCAAGTGTCACCCTCCAAGGCTATACCTTTATAGTGCAGCTGTTTTACTGGCCAGCCCCACGTCCCAGCCTCCCTGCCAAAAAGACGGCTCCAGAACATGTCTGGTCCCAGAAGCTGCTGAAATGTTCTCTCTTCAATATCAATTCACCAAATGTAGTCATATCAATAAAGCTCAGCACACCTAAACATCAATTACTTTAAAGAAAAGGAAACGTTCTATGCGAAAATAGAGCACTATTTTAGATCTCGGATAAAGTCTTGCCCATTGTTATGGTCAAATGATATTGTCAAGCAGTACTTCTTCTGATTAGGAACAACTGACTGATGAAGTTCAGTCTCAAATAAAATGGGTCCAAGAACAAAACCACAAGGAATTTCCAGCGTCGGTACAAAAATGATCACCCTCCCAAGTTCCCCTCCTTTTCCTTTATGGAGCTGGAAAATACAGCACTATTTCTTTTTTTAAATAATAAAGAATAGTTGCTTAAATTACCTCGAATGTTTCTATCCCATCCTACTTCTATCCTACTGAATATTTCTGCACTAAATAGTTTTATCTGATCTCAACATAAATAAGCTGAACTAAGATGAATGAAAAAACATACAGGAAGCCCCTCTTCTCTCAAGGTCCCCGGGACTTAAAATTCCAGCAATAGCTTACACATGCTTCAGTGAAGATAGGGTATTGGTACATGCTTTCCTCCTTCAACCAGAGCAGATTAGTAATATAAACAAGGCATGTCCTAGTCCTCAGAGTCCTGCTGGCCTGCACAGCTCCCCTTACCTTCAGATAGGAAGAAAACGAATGCTAAGTCAGAGTGATTAACTTCTCAGAGGAAAGACTTTGAAGGGGGGGGGGGGAAGGATTTGCTTGTAAAAATGGTTAGCAATCTGCTAAAATCTCTCTCTCCTTTAAAAGCTTCAAAGTAATGTGAATCCGCTATTTAGTAGTAAGTAGTGGAGAATACTAATTATGTTCATTTTAATATCTATTGTAAACTGTTTAAAAAATGAGTGAGCATTTTTTAAAATGTCTTTAGTCACGTAATCTGTTTTTAACGTGCTGACCTGGAAGGGTTGGGACTGTCCTCCCTGGTCTCCGTGGGCATGGGAAGCTCTGGGAGGCTCCTCTGGTGTCTCCTCCCGGGAGCCCAGCACACTGTGGGCTCAGTAATGGCATCAGCTGCCAAGTAAGCTAATGTTCCGTGTGAACCGCGTGTGGAAATGGTCTGTGTAGGTTCTGTGCCTTGACTAAGACTCCAGACTACACACTTACAAAGAAGCAGCTGGACCTTCAACGTTCCAAATCTTCCCACTGAAATAAAGTTTCAGCTCTGATAGTAACTTTCAGTCAATTCTATACATTAGCCCTAAAACAACTTGAAAGCTGTGAGCCTTGGTTTTAGAACCATAAGTGCAAGTCAGCTGGTATCCTTTGTATTAAGACTATCACGACGCAGCCTATCGCTATAGCTGTTAATTGTTCACAGAAGCAAATATGTGAACAGGAGGTCCAACCCCCCTGCCCAACCCTCCCAAAGATCAATTGGGCAAAGCAGCAATAATAACGGTTTATCTGCGTGATATTTTAAACAGGGTTCTACTGGGAAAACATTATTACCAATGAAAGCACAAAAGTAAACATGTATGATCCCTATTATCCCAATTGAGTAATGTTTCATGTAAAAACAAACAAAAAAAGCTAACCTGATGTTGAATTACATTCATCCACTTAAATTTTCAACTTAAAATCTCTGAACCCTTTCTGGACAAAAACAACCACATTTTACCAGAATGATATTTCTTATGTGCAGATATAACTGTATTGTGAACAAATATTTACTATAAGTAACCACTTTTCCAAATATATATATATATATATATATATATATATATATATATATATGCACTTTTTAACCCTTTAAGTGCCAACCAATATCCTAGGAACTATGCTAAAATTGCCAAGGCATTTTTGCTGATTTTACAGCAGTTTAGGGAAAAAATTATGACTTGCAAGTAAATGAAGTTACATATTCAAAAACTTAAGGAAACCTTTACTAGATTGACATATTTAGCAATATCATCATCACTAATAAAAGCAGATTAGAACTGGACACCATTCCGAAGCTTTGATAGCGCTCCCGGCACTTTTGGCGAAAGACAGGAGGAGGGCGATCGCGCTCCCCTGCACTCTAGGGGTTAAAAACAGGATTTTAGGGCAGCCACTTCCTACTAGAAATGATGAGTGGCATATGAAGTGGGCCCAGATTTCTAAGGAATACTACAACTGCCATTTGAGGAAACTCTGACATGAATTAAGAGGAAAAGGCAGAAACCCTGCCTTTCTCAGAGACGGGCTGGTATTTTGTATAGTTGATCCCAGAGTGTCTGTGCTGGGAATCCTACCAGAGCTCAGAGCTGGTAGGATTTTAAAAAACAGACCTGCTTAACATTCAAACCAACAGGGCAGGGGGCACTCTGCTGGCAGGGTTCACAGGCAAACGTCTGGAGACACAAACCTGGCCGGCAGCGGTGGGTCCGCCTTGCCTGCCACCAGCCAGGAGGAGCGGTGGTAGGCGTAGCGGTACCTCTTGTTGTCCACGGGCACGATGTCCATCAGGACTATGTACTTGGCCTCAGGATCCACGCCGGAAAACGACACGCGGATAGTAGGGAACATCCTCCTGACACAGGGAGACAGAGAGGACGGCCTGAGCTCGCACAGCCCGAAGAGCCGCTGAGTTAGAGGGAAGGGAAGGATAAGACCGCCCTGCCCCCCAACTCCCAGAGGCCCCCAAACCCTTTCTGCTTCCTGTAAAGCCAGAGACGTGAATTTGGAGACCGAAGTGCTAGATAATTTTGCAGGGGTCTCATGGCTGGGAAAGTTGTGTTCCCTTTCGTTTTGGATGCCCAAGGTCTGTGATGATGGAAAAGCCTAGCTTTTCAGCAAGCCCATTGAGCTCTGACCCAGGGTCTCCAGAGCGACCCAGCCCTGCAACTCCCTGGGGTGGGAGAAAACTCGCTCCTGCCACAGAGAGCGGAGCAGGAGTCTCAGCTTGGGCTTGGGGGACCTTGCCTGTATTTCCCAGCGTCCTGAGAGCTGGAGCTCAGGGCACCGACCCCCAGAGCCTGGCTTCCCGCCCGCCCGCCCAGAGCCTGCCCTGCAGAGGCGCCAAGGGCCTTACAGCCAGCGCCCCTCCTCCCCAGAGTGCCATCCTTACAAACCTCATTCTGCCGCCCAGGTTTTACTTTTCCTTCAGTGGGAACTGGAGGCTTCTGAGGATTGAGGCCCCGATAAAGGAAGCTACCTGCCTCCCTTGCAGCACCCAGTCGCCCCCCTGCACCCTGGACACTCCCTCTCGATGCCGAGCCTGCACCCCCAAACCCTCCCGGGCTGCGGGGGTCAGACATTCCTGGCCCCTGTGCCCTTCTCATCAAGACCGAGGTGCGGTTTCCCACGGCCAGATCTTGAGAAAGCAAAAGCCTGGGGATTCTCTGAGCAGCACTTTCCACTGTAAGTCTGCGGGAAGAAGCCCACCCTGAGCGAAGCAGCTTCCTGTCTGTGCTCTGAACCCGCAGGGATTCACCCAGCTCCTGGAAACGCCCCCAAGCCGCCCAGGGAGCACTCCCCCACCCGCTCCTCCCCGCCAAGGCCCCGCTACCTGCCAGACTTGGTGATGATCATCTCTGTGCCCAGCTCGTGGAATTTGTCCCAGAGCTCCTTGGTCTCCAGGCTGCAGGCGATTTTAGCCATTTCCTCGCTGGGGATGATGGGGGTGGTGGGGATCAGCGGCTCGGTGCAGAGCGAGGAGGACGCCGGGCTGCCGCCGCCTCCGCTGCCGCCAAACTCCCCGTGAGCATCCAGGCTGGTGAGTTCGCCCAGGGGCTGGGCGCAGGATGACTTCTCCACAAATTGTTCTGCAAGAGAATGGACCCTGGCAGCTAATGCTGTGAGCAAAGATGCAGGAAGGAGAGCTGCACAACTGAAATAGAGACCCAGATTTGACCTTGGAAAAGTTAAGCTCAGAAACTCCAGGAAGTCCGCTGAGAACCCACCTGGTACAAATCAAGCATGCGGCTCCGTGGAGTGGCGCGCCCTCTGCTTGCTTACTGGACCACGCGAGTGAGTTCCAGAGGCATCCACCACGACTCAAGCCCACACCGGAGGATAGACGTGTGAGGGCCGGAAAGGGGTGCCCACGATGGATAAAAAGCAAGGGTTCCTGTTTGCATCCCTCCCAAGTCCTAGACTTCACAGCCTGCGGGAGCTGGTGCCAGGGCTGCCCCTTGGACAACCGAGAGAGACTTCTGTCCCAGGAGAGCCAGGGAGTGAAGAGATGAGCCCCTTCCTCTCAAAGCCCCCTCTCCATAGAAGAAGGAAACGTGGGTGGGAGTGGAGAGGCGGTTAAAAATAAAAAATCAAGTCATTTCACTTCTCTGCCTGGCTCATTTATAGGCCTCAGCATGTTAGATTAGAGCAGTGGTTCTCAACCTGTGGGTGGCGACCCCTTTGGCGGTCGAACGACCCTTTCACAGGGGTCACCTAAGATCATCCTGCATATCAGATATTTACATTACGATTCATAACAGTGGCAACATGACAGTTATGAAGTAGCAACGAAAATAATTTTATGGTTGGGTCACAACATGAGGAACTGTATTTAAAGGGCCAGAAGGTTGAGAACCACTGGATGAGAGCTTTTGCACGATGTCCCTCCCAGCCTGAGATCTTATGAAAGGCTAGCATTTCCCTGGTTAAATCACAGGAGTGTGTGCTCTGGGCCATTTCTGGACAAAAAAGGTATTAGAATTGAGGAAACCAACCCGAAACCCAGGCTAGCAGGCACATTAAAGTAGAAAGGAGGCTTTGCCATCCACCAGGAGGCGGGAATAGGACTACCAGGAACCAAACATTTCCCCCACAGCTGATAAGGGCCTGGGACTCCACCAGTCACTTTGATGGAATACAGGGTGGGTGACTTTTGTAATTATCCCAATTATCTTGCATCCCTTAAAAAATGAGAAACTACTTGAATCTGCTATGTGAAACTGACCACCAAACAACTCTATTCTAAGTGCCTCCAAGGAACTGAAACCAGTTCTAAATGTAGGTATGTACATCGTATAGGCGTCCTATAAAATGTTTTGTCTGTATTTCTCCTTGACTTAGGGCGGCAAATAGAGCATTCTTACCTTTTCTCCTTTTACAATAACAATCCAACTCCTAGGAACGTTTTAAATTAAAAATCACCCAATTATTTATCTTATCCCTATATTTTCATTCTGAAAACAAGAGACCCATGCTATGGGGAAAATCTTATCCTCTGAGAATATTTTCAGAGGCTTATTCACATAATGTCTTCACAGGGAATTAAGAGGGAGCCTTGGGAATTTTCTTATTTTCTGACCACTGAAAAGCGCAAACTCCCTCAGCCTCGGACTAACCAGTGCGTCAGGGCTGGGACGTGGAGGAAGCGGAAGAAGAAGAAAACCACACGGAAATGCTTTCGCACAATGTCAGGCATCAATTATATCTCAAAAAAAAAGCTTTTTTAAAGGAAAAGTCTGAGGCTATGCTTCTAAATAGACTTAAAGTGTTTCAATGGGCAGTCGAGAGACACTTTTGGCCTGTACCCTGGCTTCAACAGTTCAGTAGGGTTTCATACCGTATTCCCTCTCAACAGAGCCTTCCGTCTTTCTCTTGCCTGGAGTCCATGGCTTACACAGTCACTAATTGTGCTCTGTGGAACTGACCCCTAAAAGGGACCCGAATGACTTCTGGTTCCTCCAGGGGGCTGCTTAGCCACAGACGGGGTGTGTGGTGAGGGGGGGGGGGTGGTGGCTCTGTGAGCTGGGCATCATTTAGAATGTAGATCGGTGCTTTTTCTCAGGAAAATAAATAGACAAGGAGGCAAGGCTGAGAGGACAGTGGCCCTGAAGCCGCTTGTTTCCCGGGCTGCTGTCTGTCCTTCTGGGAGGAATTTTAACCTGAAATGGTCTTTTCCTGCTGGCTACCAAAAGATGATGGGGCAGTGCCAAACAGGAGTGGGTACCATTGGCAAGTCCCACAACCAAACTTTGGAATTGGTGGTTGATTTTTTTTCCTGTGCGGCCTGGGTTTGTTTGATTGGTTGTTTCCATCCCGTTGGCAGGTTTAGGTTTAGATGGGAGGGTGGGTGGGAAAAGCCAGGAAAAATCGAGAGCCTCAGAGGAGAGACTTTTTGACATTATGTTTTCTGGAGCCCTTCCGGTTTCTTCTTCCTTAGTTCTGAGTGGCTACACGGGTTTTAATTCTTTTTTCTGTCCAGGCCCCTTGTTTTTCATCTCTAGGGCTTCATCTTTCATATTATTGTCGTTTTGGATGTGAGACGTTAAATTGTTGGAAAAAATGGAGGGGGGGAGGGAGGAAAAAATTGGGAGAGTTAAAAAGAAAATATTATCCCGTTTGCTATTTGATGTTTTTCACTGTTTTAGGGCTTCCAGCTGGTCGCGATATGAAATAATTATTTCCTGGGGCCCCAAGAGGTGACACTGAGAATACGTCTTTCTCAGTTGTAAAGGGACAGTGAGCCACACCGCTGGCAGTTTCCTCCCCACATAATTCACTTGTGCTCAGGGGAACATAATCCCGTTCCTCCCTATCCTCCGAGAGCCTAGAGTCTTCTATAAATGGTAAAGGTTGTTAAATAAACAGTAAAGCTAAAAGTTGAGGAATTTGGGAAATGGTGACTGGCTCATGTTTTTGCCAACCGCTACTGAAATGCCAGCACTTATAAAACGATGTCTTATTGATAAGTCTAGAACTTCTGTGAAGAAAATGGCCCACTCGGGAAGAAATGGCTTCCCCTACAGCCCTTGACTGTGGTTTTAAGCACTAACCCTGTTTAAGAACGAAGCCTATCCAGTCGGGAGGAAAACAAAATTAAACTAGTTTCTTGTGAACTCGCGCGCAGTCTCCTTGGATTCAACTGCACAAGCAGGTGTTAAGCGTCTTTGGAAATGGGTCTTATTATTATATATCCTTCAGTGTTGTTATCCCAACAGAGCTATCCACCCACACGCACTCCTCCTGGGATTCTAGGCAGAGGGAGAGCGCCTACCGCCTGAACGAGATGCGAACCCGCTTGTGTTTCAGACTCGGAAGCTCCCAAAGAAAACGTGGGCCTTAAAGGAAAAACCCTCCCATCCGACTTACGGCCTGGGGCCTGAGCGTCACCCTCCGGAGCCCCCCGCAGCCCGCGCAGCTCCCCGCCTCTACCCACCGCGGGCGGCGAGGCAGCCGACTTACCCAGGGGTTTGATGGTGTTTTCCGTGGCCTCCTTCTCCTTGGAGCCGCCGCTGGACATGAGCGCCGCGATGGAGAAGGCGTTGGCCCGGGAGGAGAGCTGGGGCTTGGGCGACGCCGTGAACTCCATGGCCCCCGGGACGCGGTCCTGCCCGGGGACGGGGCTGGCCGAAGTGCCGTCCAGCTCCCCCCGGGGAGACAAAGACCGAAACGCGCCGCCAAGTTTCCGAGTGCAATCGCAGCGCAGCCGGGGACTCCAGGTGAGTCAGTCCCAAGTCCCCGAGAGCGCCCCACCGGCCCCCCACGCCCCCACCGCGAAGTGCTGGAGCCGCAGAGCCTTCGAACCGGCCGGAGAGGACGGAGATGGACCGCGGGCTCCACCCGGCGCGCAGGCACCGGCGCGCGCGGCAGGACCACAGGCTGCGCCGCTGGGAGCGGGGGACGCGCACCCGCTGCGCAAAGACCCGGGTCCCTCAGCACCCCCTCCGCGGCCTTCCTCCCCGTCCCCCGCGGGGACAGCCGGCGGGGCCCCAGCGGCAGGAGCCCAAGACAGGGCGCGACAGCAGGGAGCCCGATCGCCGCGCGGCGCGGCCCCGAGGACACTGCGCGCGGAGCCCGCAGCCCCGCGCCTTAAGCTGCTGGCGGCGCCGGCCCCGGTGACCCGCAGCCAGTCAGCGCCGCCCCACGTCACCGCTTCCTGCTGCCGCCGCCGGGGGCGGGGCGGGGCCGCCGGAGCGGGGAGGGCGCGCCCGGGGCGCCGCGCCCGCCGCCAACCTGGCACCTTTGGGGACAGGGGGTGCCACCACCCAGCTGGTCTGGGGGCGAGAGGGAGGTGCGCGCTGTCGCGAGTGGCCTTTTTTCCCGACCTAAGATCCGAGATCCCGGGAGTGGCGCCGCGCGTGACCCTAGACCGGAGGGCGACCAGGAGCTCTCGCCTCGCCCCGGGGCCAAGGATCCGTCTCACCGCCGCTCAGAGTTCCAAAAGAGCGTCTGGAAACGCCAAGGAGAGAGGAGAGCGGCGCGGGGAGCTGGTGCCCACGGGCCAGCCCCATTCTCCGGGTCCCCAGGCTGGGTCCCGGGACTGGTTGGTCTCCAGTATCTGGCTGCTTGGCAGTGGGGCTGCGGGGCGCAGCGCGGCGAAAGGTGCGCTAACGGGGTGCTGGGAGCCTTGCGCAAAGGATGGCGCCCTCGCCGCCAGGGTTTGTGCTGCACAGCGGGGTGCCTCTCCCCCGGGGCTCCCGTTCCGGGAGGGACTCGGCAAGGCCGGGGGCGGGCGCTGTGCGGGCGCGGCCCCTGCGGGGACCCGGGAGGCGCGGCGGGAGAGCGGGGCTCACAGCGCGCGGGCGCGGCTGACGCGGGACCCCTGCCCCCGCAGACTCGGCGGCGACCCGGACTTCCCACGGCCTGGGGGTGGGGGTGGGGGGGCGGTCGTCGTGTCGGCCTTGCTCAGCTTAAATAACTCAAATTCTCCGAATTCGCAGGGTAATCCGCTCCCCTGCAGCGGAGCCGGGTAAACTCAGGCTGACAACACCCAGGCTGCACATGTAAATATTTGCGCTCCTTTTCAGCCAGTCGGTCTGGCGAGTAAGAGCCTCTTGGTGGGTCTTAACGGAAAAAAGGAAAACATCCCCTATTTCCCGCCAGCCTTCTACTTTCCTCACCGCACCCAGCTCCCTGGCTGCTGAAATCAGCCGGTGGGGACGCGGAAAGTCGAAGCTGGAGAACGTTTGGGAAAGGGAAAGGACGCCACCTGGGAGAGGCGCGGCTTCGGCCCGCCCTGTCATCGCGCAGCAGTCGTTTCTAAGCAGGTGCTGCGCGGAGGTGACGGGGCCACGTTTTCCGCAATCAGCCCCCACGGACAGTGTGCCTGCGGCATGTTCGGGGAGTTCGTCAAAACCCCGGCTTCTGTGTGGAAGGGGCTCCGCCGTCCTCTCTCTGGTCTTTGGAGAGAGAACGCCCGGGTCTGGCGCGGCGCAGGGCGGGTCGCCCGCGCAGTGGGCCCAGCGGGCTCAGGGCTCACTGGAGCCCCGGACCCGCACTCCAGGCCGCGGTCCTGCTCCTGGCCGCCGCCTCTCTGGGCTGTTCCTGCGAGGCCGGCAGTAGGGCCAACGCAGGCTGAGAGCAGAAGGCTTTCCGACGAAACCGCCGTCAGAAAGACAGAGACTAAGCCAACCGGGCGCCCAACGACCAGTTTCCATTCTTGACTCTTTGGTCCATTGCTGTTTGGGGACAACCAGACCCTTCAGTTATTAAAGTCTCCCACTCCCCCCCTCTGCTCCCCAACCCCACTCAATCCAAGAGTGACACTTCCCTCTTTCGAATGCAAGGTGCACACTGGCTCCTTTCCTGCCTCAAATGCTTAGAGTTGGACCAGGAAGGAAGACTTAGTGCTGGTGGTGGGAGGGGGGGGGCTTGGTTTTTTTTGGGGGGGTGATGTCAGGATTAGTGTAGAACTTAATAGGTGCTCTGCTGGTTTTAGTTTTCAAAAACTTATTTTACCTCAATTTAAAAAAACAACTTGCCATTGCTTTTTCTGCACACAGGGAATGCCGTATTTTTTCTTAGTTGTCTTAATGGATCAGACTGGAGTTTGAGAATATGAGAGGGGCATTTGTAGAAAAATTGGCCGAGGAGGGGAAAGCTGCCCCAGTCTTGGCCAGCTCTGGGTCTCCTGTAGGCAGGAAACTCTGGCTCTTCGTCCTATTACAGGAAAAGGGGGAAGAAGAAGAAAGAAGCTCAGCGGGCACTCAGGGGCAGGTGGCAGCCCAGCAGCCCAGAGGAATGGAGGAGGCCACTTGAAACCAAGCTGGGCGCCAGAGGTGAGCTGTTTGGGGCCGCCTAACAAGCTATGCATCTTGCTGGCGCTGAAATCACTGCAGTAAAATGTATACACTACAACATAATTATCGGGGGCACAGGGTCCCTTCCATAGATTTATTGCCTTTGCAAATCAATAGGGCGCTATAAAAACCGGATGGTTCCCCGGCAGAGAGGTGCTGTCAGGAGGTGACTCAGAGATGTGAGCGCTGAATCCAGAGGCCTTCTACCCACCCTCCCTTATGGCAGGTTAACAGGTGAAGCCACCAAAGAGGCTGGAAGGAAGCAGCACCATTAACGCTTCCCTCCAGGCCCGTCTCACCAAGGACAGACCAGACTTGGGCGCTGCTGTGGACACCAGCAAGTGCCTTGGACTCCAGGAGACCTTGTCTTGCCTGTAGCCCCGGTGAGTCCCGAGACTTTGCTTGGGTTCCGGAAAGCTCTCAAAGCCTCCGTTTCCTCACCTACATTAAAATAGGGCCAACAGCCCTAACCGGATTGGCTCAGTGGATAGCAGCCATGGGCAAACTACGGCCCGCGGGCCGGATCCGGCCCGTTTGAAATGAATAAAACTAAAAAAAAAAAAAAGACCGTACCCTTTTATGTAATGATGTTCACTTTGAATTTATATTAGTTCACACAAACACTCCATCCATGCTTTTGTTCCGGCCCTCCCGTCCAGTTTAAGAACCCATTGTAGCCCTCGAGTCAAAAAGTTTGCCCACCCCTGGGATAGAGCATCAGCCTGCATACTGAAGAGTCCCAGGTTCAATTCCAGTCAAGGGCATGTACCTTGGTTGCAAGCACATCCCCAGTGGAGGTAGCTGATCGATGTTTTTAACTCTCTATCCCTCTCCCTTCCTCTGTAAAAAAATCAATAAAATATATTTTAAAAAAATAAAATAAGACCAATAATTTATTCCTGCCCAGAAAAACGGAGCTGCGGATTGATGAGGTAACGCGCATGAAGCGCCTACACGGAACAGTTACCCCAATTTAAGTAAAACATTAAGTACAGAATTTTATTACATTTAATTTTTGAACTGCAATTTCGCGATCAATTGCAGAGCTGTAGACAGTTTTGGAAACGGGCGCAGAGAATTGGGGTCCCTGGGTGGTAAGGGAGCATTATTTAAGTCCCGTTGAACTTGGGAGGCTAGGAATTTAAACTGGTGGTTACATGTCTGAGTTTGATCTTATGGACTTCCATTATACGGAGGACTGGGAGATGCCTTATGCACACTGCCCTTCCTAATTCTCACTTGCAGCATCCGCAGCTCAAAAGCTAGTCCACTTCGGAGCTGCCCTGGAAGTAAAGGTTTCCCGCTGTTCTGTAGCTAAAGCAGAGCCCGGGCTGACAGGGCAGGGACCATCCGCTGGTGTCGCTGACGCCCCGCAGGCACTGGGAGCGAGGGCTGCGCTGCAGCGGCGGGACCGGGTAAGGGCCCAGAGGCCATCAGGCACCGGCGGGTGAAGGCCAGACGGAATGGGGGAAGGAGTCGGTTTCTCAGCAGCCGGGCAGGCAGACGTCTCGCCCCATCCTCTCCAGTGAACGCTGGGAGAGCACAGTGAGGCCCCACCTGTGGCTCAGTGGTTGAGCATCAGCTATAAACCAGGAGCTCACGGTTCAAGGGTCAGGCCACCTGCCCTGTTTCGAGCTCCATCCCCAGTGTGGGGCGTGCAGGAGGCAGCCTATCAATGGTTCTCTCATCACTGATGTTTCTCTCTCTCCCTCTCACTTCCTCTGTGAAATCAATCATAAAAAAATATATTTCTGCCCTGGCTGGTTTTGCTCAGTGGATAGAGCGTTGGCCTGTGGACTGAAGGGTCCTGGGTTCAGTTCCCGTCAGGGGCATGAACCTTGGTTGCGGGCACATCCCCAGTGGGGAGTGTGCAGGAGGCAGCTGATCGATGTTTCTCTCTCATTGATGTTCCTGACTCTCTATCCCTCTCCCTTCCTCTCTCTAAAAAATCAATAAAATATATTTTAAAAAATATATATTTCTTTTAAAGGCACAGTGATGGGCCTTGGGATTTCTCAGTTCGGTGTGCCGCTGGGGAAAGACTCCCGAAGGGGGGTGGGGAGAGGCCGCAGCCTCTCGCAGGCGGCTCCGCAGGTCCCCTTGGGGCCAAGGGCAGCGAGTCCCCGCGCCAGGGAGGGAACGAGGTGGCGCGGCCTCAATGTAACGGCGCGCAGACGGGACGGGCACAGCCTTTCCTCGCAGTAGCTGGGGACCAGGCGCGAACGCACACCCTACCCCCTAAAGACGTTAGGTTTTCTTGGCCCCCCAAGCGGCCGGGAGCCGAGCCCCCTGTAGCCCCCGCATCAAGCCTGGCGTCCGCGCCCAGTGCCGGGTACAAGGGCGAGGCCAAGACCAGCTCCTCCGGGCCGCATGTGTCCTCTGACCGTCGCAGGGCCCTTTGTGCGCGCGTCCTCACATCGGCGCCCAGCCATAGGGCCCAGGAAAGGGATGCCATGCGGGCCAAGGCAGGTCGCACCCAGGCCCAGGACCCTGTCCTCAGGGGGTGAGCGAAAAGGTCACTGGTGGCTGCAGCCCGGGTACTGCGACGTCCTCCCCCAGCCCCCCGCCCTCCTCCCGTGTCCACGGGCAGGCAGTCCTGGGCCTGGGGGCAGAGGGCAGGCGTGCTGGCCCCACAGCCTCCATCCAAGATGCTCCCTCTGGTTGCGACCCTCCCGCTCCACCCCGCGAACACTGCTTCCCGGTTCGGTTCTTCCCGGGAGCTCGCGGCTGCGGGGACGCCCGGCCCGCAGGCTTTCTGACCCGGGAAGGACCGGCGCGCTACAGCCCACGGGGTGTAAACCTCGCAGCGCCATCTCAGGAACAACAAAGACAGACAGAGCTCTGACCCTGTGAGCGAGGGATGCTGACCGCTCTCCCCGCAGCTCGCCCTCCCTCCACCTCCACGCTGCTCCCGCCTTCCCTCTCCAACCCTCCTCTAGGGATCTCCCTGCCTCCCCTCCCCCTACCAACGCCCCTGCCCTGTCTCTAATTAAAGCTTAGATCGTTTTTTTCTCCCGTCGTGAATTTGTTGCATGAGTTTTGCTTTTTAAAATTACTGCATTAAAATATTATTTATTACTTAATAAAATAAAATATTATTTATTACTTAACTAAATATTCAATTACTTAAATAGAATATTATTTAATTGTTAATTAAATAATATTTATTTTTTTGGCGCCCCTTAAATTTTGGGCTTTCAACCTAGTCCCGGCCCCTTTAGCAAGGTTTAGAATTCGATCGAAATTACATTGATGATAAGCATTAGAGCAGGGATTCAACGCAGATTTCTAGCTTCCAAGCTTCACTCCTGCCATGACCCAGGCACTGACCCGGTGAAGTGAGAACTCCCACGAGGAGGAGGGAAGCGGACAGAGGATGAATGTGGGTGCCCAGCCCCCCAGGGCAGACCCGTGGGGCCTGCCGGGATGGGGCCCGCTGCAGCCAGACAGGCTGCCAGCATGCTTCCTGAGCTGCAGGTTCGTAGACGTTTAAAAACGAACTCAAAATGAAATGAGAGGACTCCGGAGATGAGGAGTCACAGCCGTCTTTCTGGCAGTGCCCTGCCTCCCACAAGCAGTGCCAGGTTTGGAGGTGTCACCTAGTTCTACTTAGCGATGGCTGCATGGGGAAGATGGCCCAGCCTTCCCCCAACCAGCCGTCCCTGTCCTCTCGGGGTGATTGCTGGGGCTCCTCTGCCTTGGGTCTTAGGAGCTGGCCTGGGGCTGCTTGGTTACAAACCATCCATGCCTATCCAGAGGTTTAGACGATCAAGGTGAGGCAGTCACAGACAGGAAGTAGCCCTCCAAGGTCTCTGCTGCCAGCTCCCACTGTGGGTCACCCCAGAAGCCACCGGGAAAGCTCATCTTTTTTTTAAAAAATATATTTTATTGATTTTTTACAGAGAGGAAGGGAGAGAGAGATAGAGAGTTAGAAACATCGATGAGAGAGAAACATCGATCAGCTGCCTCCTGCACATCTCCCACTGGGGATATGCCCGCAACCCAGGTACATGCCCTTGACCGGAATCGAACCTGGGACCTTTCAGTCCGCAAGCGACACTCTATCCACTGAGCCAAACCGGTTTCGGCAAGGAAAGCTCATCTTATTCCCTGCCAAGGGCAAAATATACCCAGGAAGGGCTTGGGTGCCTATTCCCAAAGCCAGCATGCTCCCAGAGGACTTGAAGCATGTACTATACAAGGGAACAAGGACATAGGCACCAAATAAAAGACAGAGAGTGCAGAGTATTTGCTCATTCATCCAGTGTCATCTGGTGCTCAGTCTAGGCTGGGTACTGTGCTGGGTCCCAGGAACTGACCAGCCACCAGAACCCTAAACTTCCTGCTTGTGCAACTCACCTTCTGGTGGGAGACACTAACAAGCCTGTAAAAACCACAAGAAAGAGAAATTGTGACAAAGACTTGGGAAAACAAGGAGCAGACGTAGCAAACTCAGCCTCTGTGGGGCATTCATTCCTTCTGGACCAGGCACTGGCATATTGGGTGGGGATGTGGTTGGATAAGTTGCATGCGATCATCCCTGCCCAACAAGGACTCACAGCCCAGCTGGAGATGGATAAAATAGCACGGATATAAAAAACACACACATTCATTCTCCTTAACACTGAGCTAAAAGAACTCTTGGGATGTAGGGGCATCACGGCTCAGTGTTAAGTACAAATAAGACAGAACTAATAAGGAATAAAAAGCCTTGCAGAAGAAGGTGTTCGGGTCTGGCATCTGAAACACCGGTTTGGAGCAAGCTGTGCTGGCTCAGTTTCCACATCTGTAAAATACGGTTACCGAGGACAATACCTACGCCAAGAGTTTGTTGTGAAGATTAACGGAACAATGTCCCCTTGGTGACTCTACAGGGGTCAACGGACCCTGGAACTTGGGAAGAAATCCCTTTGTGATCCAGGGCTGATACAGATTAGATCTGACCAAGAAGTGTGTCCAAGAGCTCCAGTTTCCACGCTCTGGGAATGTCAGGAACAGCTTTCTGGGTCCCTGGGATGCTCTGGGTCCCACTCAGGGCCTCACTGCCATGGCGAGGAGGCGCCAGGTCCTCGCCCCTGTTCCAACGGGGCTCCGCTGCGAACACTCTCGCTGGAAAGGCAGGAGGCCCACAGCCGGCCTCTCCGCTACCTTTTCTCCTATGAACTCACGTAGTGTGAAGGCGCTTTGAGTACATCTCAGGTTCTGGAGGCTAGTTTTCAGTGCATTACACAGAGCCATTGCGCACTTAATGCTTGCCAGGCGCTGCGCTTCGGCTTTCCAAGAAATATATAATGTTGGTAATAGCATCAGTCGGGTCGCATTAGCATGTGCATGTTTAAAAGTGCAGAAAATGAGTCTGGGAAGGCTAACTGAACCTCCCCCCACACATCGAATTCCAGCACTGACTTGCTTGGTTTGCCGTTCTGGAAGCAGAGGCAGCGCGGAGAGGGCTGAATGTTCTGGGTCTGTTTGTAAACCGCAGCCCCAGAGGCAGGAAACACGCGCACATCTTTGTTGTCTGCCCAGCAGGACCAGGGACTTTATGCCTCCAAACTGGGTACCCTGCAGGCTCCTGGCCCCCCCCCCCCCCCCCCCCCCCCCCCCGGCCGCGCAAAGGTCCTTCCGTGTCTCCGAGGACCTCGGGCGCAGGCGGCCTTTTTAGATATTTTTTTTCTTTAATGATGTAACTACCGAGTCATCTGC